TCCAGGCTTTGGTTGAATTTCTGATCCTCCTGCCTCAGCCTCCCAGAATGCAAGGATTACAGGGATCCATCACCCGGTTCAAAATCAAAACAAGACAAAACAAAACAGTCTCAAGTGTGGTGTATGCCTGCCGTGCCACCATGGGAGGCTGAGGCAGGAAGATAGAAACTTTGAATTCCACCGGGCAATTTTGTCTTTTTTTTCGGGGAGGTGGCAGGGGTTGAGGCAGGATCTCACTATGCAGTTGAAGCTGGTCTTGAACTCACTATGGAGCCCAGGGTGGCCTCAAACTCATGGCAATCCTCCTGCTTCAGCCTCCCGAGTGCTGGGATTCCAGGGGTACACCATCATGCCTGGCCATCTGGGCAACTTAGTGAGAACGTGTCTCAAAATAAAAAAGAATTTCTGGAGGAGGCTCAGTGGTAAGGCCCTGGGTTCAGTCCCCAGTGCTGAAAAAAATTTCAAAAGAGAGAGAAAGCCCTGAGTGCCTGTCTGAGCATGAGTTTGTGTCCCCTCCTCCCTCCTTTGAGGTCTCTGGGTCCCATGGGGCCAGGCTGGGTGCCCCCATGCCTTCTCCAGGCTGAGCAGTGCCCCTGCCCCTTCCTGAAGCATCTCTCCCACGTCCAGGCCCCCTCTGTGCTGCCTGCTGCCTAGGAAGCAGCTTCCACAGGGCGGGGAGTGCAGGGGTTTTTTTGTTTTGTTTTGCTTGAAACAAGGTCTCACTGTTTAGCCCAGGCTGGCCTCAAACTCACAGCAATCCTCCTGCCTCAGCCTACCCAGTGCTGAGATAAGCATTGCCACCATGCCTGGCTTTCCCCAGGTCTCTAAGTGGGGACACAGATGCTATTTGTGACGCCAGTTTGGTGGCAGTGGTGAGATGGGAGAAGGGACCCTCACCCAATGGGGAGCAGAGGACAGGCTCCTGCTGGAAGGTAGCTCAGCGGCAGTCTGCTTAGCTCACACTGGGCTCCGGGTTTCATCCCCAGCACTGAAGAGGGAAACAAATCTGGTGGCGTGCACCCCTAGTCCCAGCGACTCGGGAGGCTGAGGTAAGAGGATCGCTTGCTCTCACCAGTTCAAGATCAGCCTGGGCAAAACAGCAAGATCTTCATCTCAAAAACTAGTCAGCTGTGGTGATGCTCCCCTGTACTCCAAGTACTCTGGCAGGCAGAGGCAGGAGAATCTCACGTTTGAGTCCGCTTTGGAGAATTTAGAGAGATCCTGTCTACAAAAAAAAAAAAA